ATGTCCTGCAGGGGCCCCACGTTACCCGGTGCCTTCTTTTTACTCCCTATGAATTTAAAAAAGGACTTCTTGTTATCTTTGATCCTGATCACTAGTCCTAGTTCTGTCTCCACCTTAGCCTTCCTAACAGCCCTTCTATAGTCTCGAGCAACAGAGGTATAATCCTCCTTGGTGATGGCCCCTCCCTTCCATCAGGTGTACGCCTCGTTTTTAGCTTTCAGACATTCCTGAATGCCAGTCAAATTCTGCTAGGAGAAACATGCCACCTCTGCGAGAAAGATCTTGCAGGTGTCCACCTAGAACAGGGGTGGGCAAAATGCAGCCCACGGGCTGCATGCAGCCCTCTAGGCAATTCTATCCAGCCTGCAGGGCCCCTAAAAAATTTAGAAAATTAATATTTATCTGCCCCTGGCTACCTGTCATGCAGCCCTCAATGGCTTGCCAAAACTCAGTAAGCAGCCCTCCACCCAAAATAATTGCCCGCCCCTGACCTAGAATATCTCCCTTGTCTCTCACAAGAAAGAATGCTTGTATGCTCCTCTCCTAGTCTGCAAAGCCCTCACCTACTCCTCAGGCTGGGGAATTCTGATCTAGGGAGCAGGCAGAGAGCTTTGGGGGCTGCTCTGGTCCCCTCTCAGACTCAGAAATTTCCCCCAGTATGAATGAATACCAGTTCATGCCCTTAGTAACCCCTGCACCAGTGTTCACCACCTAGTATAAAAGTACACACGCACAATGCAGAGCTGTTAGTGCATTTCACTACAATTCCAGCTGTAGGAGTTCAAACCCAAAGGCCACCTCCAGCTGATTCAGTTGGTTTCCTGGTCATTCAGGGTGGGCAGTCAAAGGTGTCTACATCATTCAATCATTACGCAGTCAAAATGAGAAAATGTTCAACTTGTCTGATGTGTGTATTTTTCTGTTAGCCTGTGAGTTCAAAAGTGCACAAAGGCAAAACTGCAGCATGAACCACTAAGACTTTATTTTAGCACCTTAGAGGATCAGCCACCATCATATCACCTCTTGCCAAATTAAACTAACTCCCTCAGAACACTCATTATTAAATTTTTTTTACACATGCAACATTACAAATCAAACAACAGGCTTTTCAGATTGAGCTCTCATTAAGGCTGGTAAGATTTCTGAGCCATTTTGTATATACTATGTGCATGGGTCCTATTCTATATGGACTGGAATAAATCCGGAATACCTCCATGGACTGCAGTGGAGTTGCTCCAGATATGTGATAACCTAAGTGACATCATTTAGCACACTGTACATAAAAATGACAGGGTGCTGGCTTCTACACTAGAAACACAATAGTCTTTCATCAGATGTATAAATAAAGCAATACCTGTATATAATCTAATTATGCATCTCTTCTATGTAATTTGTCTGTCTTAGTATTTCTAATAAAGTCAACGAACCAGATCAAAGCAGCACACCATCATCAAAACAATTCAGGTTCTTCAAATGAGTTGCAATGCAACATTGTCTCCAAGTTAATATCAGCAGAGTATTTTACTCAACAGTCCATAGCAACAGATTAATAACTGACCAGCAAATCCCCCCTTTTAATATACAACAGAAGTATTTTCAATTAAGTGTTATGTAACATATTCATTCCACTACCAATCTGTGTATTTATTTAAACTCAAAACCTTATTTAAAACAATGATTGTTCATTTACCAGGTCTTTGTTTACATAGAATTCAAACAATACAAAATAACCCATCAGCAATATTACCACAATGGCCTCATAGGTGCAATAAATTAATCTTCCTCTACCTTTTTTATTTTCTCAGTCAAGGATTTACCGCATGCTAATCATATTTCTCAGATGGTGTCATGCACCTCTTGACACTTCATATTCTTTGTGTTCCTCATCTTGAAAAACCTGGTTTCAATCTTTCAACTACAAACAGGGCCTCCACTCCCTCTCTCACGACATTCAAATTCAAAAGTGCCCTTTCAATGTAGTCTTAATACTCTTTCAGGATGAATAAATACCCTTCTATCCCCATTAATCACGTATAACCCATCAATATTATAAGAAGTTTTTATACCCTCCTCATAAAAATACCATCCGTATCTCTCATGAAGAGATCTCAAGACTGAATTCATCCCTTTCAGGACCCTGCTACACATTCAAATTAAAACTGGATAGAAATCAGCTACAGAGTTGTTACACATTATTAAGCACTAACTTTATAGTTGATTGGCTCTTCTTATAGCTGGATAATCATTTTTATTATGTGATAATTACTTTGCATGAGTAGCTGGTCTAAATTTATTGTGCAATTAACCAGTTCATTATGTGATAATTACTTTCCACATGTGGCAGGTCTAAATTTATTGCACAACTGACCAGTTAATTGTGTCATATATGCAATGTGTAGTAGGGGCCTCCAGAGAGTGGTGGGTCAGTTTCTCCCCAGAGGGATGTGGGCAGTGGTGTCCCCCAAGGCTCTGTCCTTGGACCAGTGCTGTTTGATATCTTCATCAGTGATTTGGATGAAGGTGTTGAAAGCACCTTGTCCAAATTTGCAGACAACACTAAACTACGGGGTACAGTTAACACACTGGAGGGCAGGGAGTGAATTCAGGCAGATTTGGACAGACTGGGGAAGTGGGCAGATCAGAACAGGTTGCAATTTAACACGGATAAATGCATAGTGCTGCACCTGGGGAGAAAGAATCTCCAACACACCTATAGACTGGGAGGTACCATTCTGAGCACCACAACAGTGGAAAGAGATCTTGGAGTCCTGGCTGACGCAAAAATGAACATGAGCAATAAGCAAAGCTAACCGCACCCTTCTTGCATCAGCAGGTGCATCATGAGCAGGTCTAGGGAAGTGATAATTCTCCTCTGTGTGGCATTGGTGAGGCCACAGATGGAGTACTGGGTCCAGTTTTGGGTGCTGCACTTCAAGAGGGATGTAGATAACCTTGAGAGGATTCAAAGGAGGGCTACTCGTATGGTTGAAGGCCTGCAGGTAAGACCCTATGAAGACAGACTGGGGGACCTGAATCTCTTCAGCCTCCGCAAGAGAAGGCTGAGAGGCGATCTTGTGGCTATCTAGAAACTCATCGAGGGGGCCAGCAGGGAATAGGGGGCACTCTGTTTACCAGGGCGCCCCTCACGGTTACCAGAAATAATGGCCACAAACTGAAGGAGAATAGATTTAGATTGGACATAAGGAAGAAATTATTTACAGTGAGTGTTGCCAAAATAAGGAATGGGCTTCCAAGGGAGGTGGTGCTTTCCCCTACCTTGGAGGTGTTCAAGAAGAGATTGGATAGGCATCTGGCTGGGGTTACTTAACCCCAGCGCTCTTTCCTGCCTGGAGCAGGGGGTCGGACCCAATGATCTGCCAGGTCCCTTCCAACCCTAGAAATCTATGAAATAAATAACTAAACTTCCACCTTGCTGTATGGCACAGCCAGACCAAAGCAGCTAAAAAGTTGGGTTGGCCTGCCTTTTGATACCAATACACTGGGGTTGTGATCTCAAGATGGTTTGGCCCAGCCTTCAGTTTCCCTATAAGCAGGGAGTAAAAATGGCAAAACCAACTTTCTACAAACTGGCCTAATGGCCATAAGGGGAAAATGCAGGGCACCCAGACTTGAAGTTCAGTTCTGTCTCTACACCTTCTTGATATTTACAAGATAAATAAATGAGGACTTCACAGCTTCCTTTCTGGCATCTTTTGTGGTTCACATGAGGTCCTTATTTGTCAGTATACAATTCATGCCTTGAAAATGACATTAGCCACAGGATGGAAACCAAGAGTCTCGCATATTGTTCTGTTTCGCACAGAAAATTCTTTTTGTTGCAACACTGGATCCTTCCACTACATTGTGGCAATATGCACAATACAAATACATTCCATATACTTCCTTCTCATCCATGAGGACAAGCATTGACAAATACCTTCCCAGTATAACCAACAAGGAGGACATGCATAATACAGTGCTATATTTCTGATCTGTTCATGAAATTGATTGAAGGTTTCAGTAAAGGCACTGAAAATGCCTTTGGTCACATGCTTGTTAGAAACTAGATATTGTTGTCCATAGTTTATACTATTTAAAGCTTAACAGCCATTACTCCAACGATTTCATTTTCAGTATACATGCTTTAGCCCAGCTTCCTAGCTCCTATGGGCTGGGCTGCCTGAACCATGCATATTCTGTCTCCCTGAGTGTGACTAAGGCCACTGGGTCCTGAGGATGCTCAGGCTAAGCAGGGCTTTCCCTCCAACCATTCCTCCTCACATGCAGAGACCACTAAAGCACTCTGCATAACGGATGAGACCATAAAAACTCTCCTGTGCTCTCAGTAGTGGCTTGCTGGCATCTAGAGAGTAAAAGGACGAAGGAAGAAGTATTAGTAAGTATTCCTCCTTTGTGTTTCCAACCGTGCACTTAATGGACACTTTTGACCTCTCTACATGTATAAAAGGTCTTTATATAAGGAAGGGGTGTCATGAATTTTCAACTGCTAATACTGAATTGTTTTCAAAGCCCTCAGAAATAATGAGAAACACAGAAAAACCCCAGAAGAAATTAATCATTCTATTTTCAGAGCAAGGTGTGTGGAAAATAAAGCACATGTGGCACATTCATCAAAGAGAGAAAAAATATTGTATAGTTTTTCGTTGAGTAAGCAACTCATTCTGTGTAGTGAATAAAGCAGGGGTTCCCTGGAACAAATATGCTCAGTTAAGTAGAGACTTCAGTAAATTGCATACACAAAATACGGATGAGCTCAAATTGTTAAGGCTGCTTTAATTCTGATATTTCCTAACCTTTGTGTACTTGACTGTGCACCATCAATAATGGTCTTTCAGCACAATCTATATACACATTCCACCTAGGAAAACAATCAGAAGTATTATATGCAGGAAGGTTGTGTGTTTACCTGAAGGCAAAAAATAATTGCTTTCTATGTTACTGTTTTCAAACTACAGAGTTACGTGAAACTGTCAACTCACATCTCTCATCATTTTGACTGCTTCTCTGGTCCTCCCCAGCTTTCTTGCACACATTGCCAGCCTTCTTTTGATGTATACTAGAACATTGGTATCCCGCCCTGTAGAAGGGGAAAGAAAAAATAATTACAACTAAAACAGGCATTGGTCAGGGATGACCTCCTAGGTCAAGGTATACCTATATACTACTATGGGTATTTTCCAAACTTCTGGGCTTGGCTTGTTTCTGCATGGGGCTGGGAAGGAACTTCCTTCCCCTGCCCTCCCACCACCTGCTACTACATGTGTCAGGATTTTTTTTTAAGCCTTCCTCAGAGACATTGGGTGTTGGCTGCAGCCAAGGCTGGAGATCGTGCCAGGGATATGCCTGTGCTCCTGCTAGGACTTCAATCCAGAGGTTCTTGCCCCTCTATTAAGACCAACTGCCATATTTGGGATCAGAAGGAATTTTACCCCGTGATCAAATTGGTAAAGAATGTAGAGAGTTTTGCCTTCCTTTGTAGCAGGGATGCAGCTTTCTTCCTGGGATCTTGACTGTACTTTTAATAATATTTGCAGCAACAGGACATTGACTGCCATGGTCCCCCTGCTTTATGCGTAGCTGATTAGGACGTTATGTCGTCTGTTGTGCCAGAGTTGACTGTGTTAGACAAAGGATTTATATGGGATGGTTTGGACAGGGACAATACTGCCTCAGGCAGAGGATTAGACTAGATGACCTATTAAGGTCCCTTCCAGCCCTACTTCTCTATGATTCTGATTCGGATAAAGGTCCATTTGGCACTACCAGCCCACAGTGCCCCCTCAGCATTCTTGCTGATCACCAAGGGCATTCTGAGACATTTAATAAATAAATAGCCTGGGCCAAATTCTACAGTAGGTCACATGGGTCTAGATGTGACCCAAATGTGATATATCTTTAGTAAAATCAATGAAACCACTGCAGATATACATTGGCATGAATGACGGCATGTTTGGCTCCACACTTGTCTAATAATCTGTGTTTGTGAAATACAGTCAGAATTCAAGGTGCAGAAAATTTCTAAAAGCAAGATCATTTGAGTATGTTATATGCAGTCATAAGAGTAAAGACTACTCAAGAAATACATAAAATAAAATGTGCAGTTATTAAAGTTAGCAGCCAACTGCTCTTCTTGTCTAATTCTCAAAATATACCTTTC